AATGTGTTGATTGTGTTGCTGCTTATGGTGATATATTTTGTTGGCCATAGTAATGGTTCTAGACACACTCTTCAAGTTTTCAAAGTGCAGCCCAAGGTTGAGGCGTTGCCTCCAAGCTTCTTTGGTTTCTTGCCAAAAGCAATGCCAATTCCACCTTCAGGTCCTTCTAGGAAACACAACGGCATTGGATTACAAAGCTCAATGGGGGAACCATAGAGGGATATATATAAAAATATATTTAAGGGTAATGTATATTATGCCTTAATTATTTGTATTTTGTCTTTACCTTTTTTTTGGTTTTGTATTACATCCCCACTTTTCTGGTTATTATTCTCAAGATCATTTTCATGGGACAAACAGTTTCATCAAAATGAACTGTTAAAGGGTATGTGTAGGTTATTACCTTCTCCACATAACATGTGAAGGATATGTATGTATATTGGACAAGCTTTAGCTAGCTAGCTTCATACTCTGATACCCGAGGGTTGATAGCAAGAAATGTTTAATTTGTGCTTGGCTTAAAGATAAAAGGTGATGTACTTGAAAGCAAAGAGAAAAAAGGTGACAAACTCGCAAAGTTGATGTATATCTACTCGTGACAACCCTTGCAAAGTTGATGTGTATCTACTTCTGCATCTTCTGTTTCTGTTTCTGTTTCTTTCAAGTAAGCTTTTGGTTTGGTAAATACATGCAAGCTGGCACATTATTCTTCCTCTGAAGAAAAGTGGAACTTTCAATGAGTTTTTTCAATGAGTTTTTGTTGACATATATGTTAGACGAGAGAGTTAAAATATAACTCTTATATTAATTTTTTATCACTTGATTAAATTTTAAATTTTCTCTCACTTAATTAATTTAAGGATTATATTTTAATCTTCTCATTTTTCATAATAAATTTTTTCTCATTTAATATGTTCCATATATATATATATATATATATTTGTGTTCATCTAAACTTGAAAGTTGTTTCTCTGAAATCTAGAGTTTGAATGCGTGAAAAACTAATAAAAGGTTGTAACTGTAGCTAAGAGTGACCATACATTCTCATAAACTTTGGGGAAGTGACGTGAGAATCGTCCATTGTTGCGTTTTGATTTGATTATAGTAAGTAGCTAATTAATGTTCGTACGAGGACTTGTTTTCCTAGCCATCCTGCACTACACCCCCTATATTGCTTCCACGTTCAACGTGTCATTTGTGTCAAAGATTTGTGAAATTTTTACTGTTATGGAATTTTTTTTAAAAAAATTTACAAAAATAGACTTCCAATATATTTCCCACAATAGCCTCGTTTACTGTTGTGAAAATTTTCCTGCTGGAATTCAGTCTCCGGAATCTGAATTCCGTGCAGATTTTCTTTTTAATTTTTTCTGTTTTTAATATATATAAATTAAATATTAAAAAAAATATATTATAAAAAAGATTCGTAATCTTATGTACTAATTTGAAGTTTTGGGAGGATGAAAAACTTCTACGTTGATGAATTTAGTGATGGAATTCTACATAATGTATGTAATTATGTCTAAGTTCGCGTGTACATCGTTAACAAATCTTAATTGCAAACATATGGGAAAAACAAAATAGATGACACGTTCAAATTAATCACATGATTAAACTGGCTTGTTCTTGTTCATTTTTTTTTCTGGATTTAAAAGACAATTGAAAAATAAATTAGCCCCTCAAAATGATAAGTGTTTTGGGTGGGTAGGTTGTTTCAAATCATGTCAAATCATCATATCGTGATTACAAACCTAGCTTATAAGCCATGTGAAACACTGAAACCCATTAATTATAATTGTCAATTTCAACGACCAAATGCAAAGGAAGGGTGGTCAAAATTTGATCTGTCTTAAAATGAAATTGATTCGACTTTTTCTTTAGCGCTTTAGCAAAAATATATTTAATTATTAATAATCTCTTAATTATTTAAACACATAATTCACCCGATTGAAAGTGAAACTTATAAAAAAAAATTGAACAATTAAAGATTAATAATAAGATATACATATGTTTTCTAATCTTTTCTAACATAAGTTAAAAGATGGAAATAGAAATTGTAAATTAAAAAACATTATCATCTTAAATTTAATAAACTAAGAAACTATAATAATTTAATAAATGTGCTCTAAACATGTAAATTTCTAATCTTGAAAGTTTTATATAAATTAACTTTGGATTGTATGTTCTTGAATATTGAGATTTGAAAAAAAAATTCAAAATCTTTTAAAACTAATTTTATTTTTTTATAAAATTTTCATTACTTTTTCTCAAAAGCTCATTTTCATACAAACATTATTTTGCTTTGAGTAAAATTGAGTTTGATTTCTTAAGTTTATAAATAGAAAAATCATGAATAGAAAAAAGTGACTAATCATATTTTTTAATTGAAATTAGTTGTAAAGAAAACTAATGAATATTTCACACTTATAATGTTTAATAAAAAAAAATACTTTCTTAAAATCTTATTTGATGGGACTTCTAAGGAAAAGTCCAAAATTAAGTGGATCAACCACTACTTACTATTATGTCTAGAAATTAAAGGCATTTTCTCAATGAAAATAATAAATATAAAAACAATTAAATTTATTAATGTCTATAATTTTTTAACATTATTTATGCGATTTTCTTTTTCAATTCATGAAAATTAAACTCAACACTTATAAAATTTACAACAATTCATACATCTGATCAACCAATTGATGCATACATCAAGAGAAAAGATATAAAACGACTCAGATTTTAATTGTTCGAATTGTAATTGAGTCAAAAGTGATTAATTAATATTAACCTTTGCGGAGACAAATTTCCAGTGAGTTAGGTGAAACAATGAGAGTTTTTTTTTTCAAATGCCACTGGATTTGGTTAAACAAAGATGGCTCCTCCCCTTCCCCTCCCCCTCAAATTTTATAGACATATAGTAGTAAATAGGGAATGGGACAAAGCAATTAGTATTCTCATGTTACTTATCTATGAATATTTGATAAAATATAAAATTTTAAATAAAAAATAAAAATAAAATAAAACTAAATAAATAATTTAAAACATATATTTATATTAAAAAAATAATTTTATAACATATGTTTATACTAAAAATAAATAATTATGATAAATATATTTAGCTTAAAAATAAATTAAATCAAATTATTTTATATATAATTAAGAGTACTTTTAATTTTTTTTAAATGTGAATATTCACAAATATGTATATTTTATTATCTGTTTCCACTCCATTATTAAGAAAGTGCTTATTTAATTATCAATTTAAAATTTATAACAAGTTTTATCTGCATATATCTACAAATACGAGTATTTTTCATTTCTTCAACCGCACTATTTATTATAATACGTACATATGTTTTTCCAGGTAAGAACGTTTCTTGCCAACCATCGAAATTAATCAGGTTTGACTTGACTCATAAAGTTGTCTCTTGACTATTAGCGAAATCCTTTCTGAATTTTATGCAAAGAGAAGACAAAGAATACATTATATTATTAAATTAGAAATGTGCACCTTTGTAGAAAAGTTTTGTTGTGTTGCTTATGTCTCTATGTCGTAGTTCTTAATTTCTTATATATATTATCAGTGCTTTGCCCTACCAATCAGGACCATTTCCACCTCAATCCATTTCATTTTATTCCCTATCAATTATCAGTTTCATGATCAAGGTGCACTTACTTGACTGGTTCTACTAATAAGTGTAAATTTGATAATGAAACCTTTGTTTTTAAATGGATACAATAAACCCAATAAAGTGCTCGTTCAAACCCACTTGAAAATAAATAAATAAAATGTCGATTTTAACATTTCATGTAGGATGTAGTTAGTAGGCCAATCATCTAAGCAAAGGAGACAAAAAATATGATTCTCCGAAGATTTCATATTGCTAAGAACGATGTATTAAGAAACTGCATATGCTATGTTTGTCTGCTCTTTGTTTTACCCGAAGTTTGGCATGGGAATTTGAATGTTTTTGGCCGTGTTAAGATATGAGTGAGACTAATTCCTACACATATATACTGATGCGACTATATCCTCTTAATATTTGGTATCTGTCTTGAAATTATTATATTTTCTATAACTCTGATCTCTGCTAACTAATGGGAGGACCCCTTCCTTCCGGCGCCGTCACACACGCTACTGCATGTCAATTAATGCTTCTTTTCTGCTACAGTACGTGTAATGCTAATCCTGCCCAGCAAATATGCAAATATTTATGAAACGTTTGGTGAACCAACATGTTATAATTAGATGAAACAGAACATGATTTTTATTTTATGTTTGATGCGTTTGAGATTGAAAAAGTGATACACTTTAATATATTAAAAAAAAATTAAACCAAAATGTATTATTTTGTTCTATGTGCTAACCAATCATAACATTGAATTGAACAGTAGATGACGTGTCATCTGGTTAAGGAGATTGCAGAACCTCAATCAATACAATTAGATTTGGTTTGTTTAAATTGATGCTGGCGTCACTAATTTCCACTGAATATTTTTCAATTTATTAGTAAATAGCCCTTAAACAGTCGCACGTAGAGAATTTATATTTTCCGTCCTGAAATTTTAATATGCATAATCGTATTATAAAGATAATTATATCCTTCATGGTTAAAATTATATGTGGCTAGTATTGTTGCCATCCACTATGGTCGGGTATTTACTCGGCCTCATTTATGAACTAACTAGATTATACCTACGCATACCAACCCAAAAGAACTACCTAATAGGATTGACCCTAAGCTGAACATCTAGAATATTTGCAGGGGACTTTTAAGTTTTAACTAACTCATTGCATCTAGAATGTTTCAAAAGTGATGCCATGGTTAATTCAACTAAACTTTTGGCATCTGTTGGTAATATTAATTTTGCAGCCTAACATAGCAGGGCATACATATGTCTTACCCTTGGTGATGATATCTACAAGGGCTTTCCAAACTTGGAAAGCTTTTCTTTTCACAACCAATTTTGCATAAGAGTACAAAATGTAATACCTGTAGTAATAATTAAATAATAATTTACATCAAATATCACCACGCATACACTTTATTCCTGAGGTATACATATTGAGGTAACAAAAAAAAAAGTGCAACGGGGGATAAAAAACCAAGAAAATAGGAAAGGTTATCTCAACTGATGATTTTATATACACTACAATACAACAGATATGTAAAGGGCACCTGCCCAAATAAAATGGAAGACATTTAACTTAAAGAGAGAAAAAAAGGTGAGGGAGCAAAAAGATTGGAGAGAAAAAAAGGATAGACAATAAAACTCAAAAGGGGTGCCTGGTTCCTTCATATTGATTTTTGATTTTTTTCCTACAATGCTCACTGCAACAAAAAGTGTTAATGGAGAACTTCCTTCCATCTACTTCCCTGAACTTCCTTCCATCTACTTCCCTGAACTTCCTTCCATCTACTTCCCTAAGATTATAAAACAGGTGAACCAGAACCGTCTGCCCTACGAGCTGTCTGGCTGGAAGACTTGTCGGTGCTTCGAACATTGTATCTTTCGTATACTCTATCGCGGTTCTCCGACCACCAAGTCTCCGCTTGGTGCTCTCCAAATCTTCGCCGGCTGCACACATATTCACCAACAAACATCTTACACATGCAAAATAATTAAAACTTCTTAGCTTAAAGTGGCAATAGTAATGTATTGAGTTTCAGGAGCCAGAAATCGGACCAACCAATAATATATTGACCTAGTGGAAGATATCCACATGCAGAGTTGGCACAACAAATAGAATATTTACAAAGCAGTTGACCAGTAACTATAAAGATCTTTAAATTCCAATTATCACTGCTACACTATTAGAAGCTATGACAATTGGCAGTCATATATACAAAGAGAATTCCTTTTATTACCTGAACCGCACTCGCTTCAGATCTCTTGTTCCATCACGCAGGGCAACCAATGTTATATAGACGCCAGGTTCATATTGTTCAATCCATTCTGCCTCAATTTGATTACTATTAGCAGGCACTACGGCATTCACGTTCCTTGATCTCGATCCATTTTCGTCATCTTGGAAATTCCCAGAATCCCTAGCATCAACAGTATCTGATACAGTACTGCTGCTTGCCTGAATCATGCCGCTTCCATTTGGCAATTTAACATCAGGGTAATCATCAGTCCCATTAGAGGTTACATATCCCCGGTTTTGTTGGTAAAGATGAGCCCCATAGCTTCCGGGCAAAGTGCCCTCGGTTCTATTCATCAGGGATGATTCAAGTCCTATGGAAGCCAAACTAGAGCCACTGATTGATTCTGCCCTCGTGTGACGTTCGCCATTTAATTCTGGATAGTGGATGCCATTTGACTCCAGACCATTTGGCAGGTAAGCTGGTCTGATGTTCTCAGCATCATAAGCACCGGGAGGAAGCCTCTCAGCAAGATCTTTGAGCTGAAACAATGTAGCAGGAAAATAAGCACAACTGTAGAACAGCAATGCTATAAAAAAATAACAAATAGATGTAGGGAATCCTTTAACTTTAAAGAAGACAAGGGTAAACAGTATTCAGCACGATTCAGACTCGAGTATGTATGTTACTCCCTAGCTCCTCCTCCCACAAAATAAAATAATGTAAATATGTAATGTATAATAATATTATAATAAATAAACTAAAAAAATCAAAACAAAACTAAAATGAAATAACTATCAGAAAGAGATGGGATAAAAAGACACACCTCATCATGCAAATAGATCATGGTGCTCAAAAACAAATTCTAGATATCTTGTTAAAATGATAATTTTTCATGTAACAGATTCCTATCTAGGTATTCATTTTATTCAAATGAAAACAAGAGAAAATAAAATAACACAATGCGTTGCATAAAGCTACATGCATAAATCACCACCAGCACAAGAAAGAAACTTTCAAAAGACACATCTAGCTCCAAGACACGTAAATTAACCAAAAAAAGTACCTGTGCTGTAAGAGACTTTATAACTTCTTTTGCAGCCTTGGATTTGGCAGATTCCTCAGCAGCCAGTGCCATAGCTTCCTGAGTCTTTTTTGCAGACCTTTGAAGTTCTAATTCTTGGAGTTCACACCTCTGTCTCAGGGTCTCAACCTAACAAAACTCATGTTAGATTTCTCTCGATGTCATGACAAGTAAAGATATAAAAGCATAAAGACATTAAATTAACTTTTCTAGCATAATAACGCTCAAAAGGGAAGAAAGCTATGCTATCAAAGCAGCTAACTTCTACTTGATTGACATGAGAGGAAGGAAGGGGAGGGGGGAGAACAATATACCTGACCACGTAACTTCGACACTTCCTGATTCAAAAGTTCATTTGTTTTCTTCAAACTATCAGCAATACTTTTTGAGAAGGAAAGTCCCGATGTTGTCGGAATAGGTGTAGCTGAACGAGGGGGACTTGGTCTTCTAGAGAAAGGGGACACGGACCTGGAATTCACTCCGGATGATGTCAGGACAGGTCTTGGAGCTGCTCGCTTCAAGTCAATAGCAGTAGACAAGACAACATCTTTGAGTTGTAACATAGACGGTGCTTGTGAGTTGCGAACCAGAGAGAATGTATCAGCCTTCTTCCCCTGTTTGGCTGCCTTACTATCTAGCTGCTTTATCAAATCCATATTAGAAGGGACTGCTGTCTTGGTCAATCTTAGCTCAGATTTATCTAACCTGTCCTTGTTTTCACCTGATAAACGAGGCAGAGCATTCCTCCGATTATTATTACCCAATTCTGCTACCTTGTTCAATTTTACAAAACAAGAATCACAAACACGATATGGCTTCCCAGGATTAGGAGCCAGGGCAGCTCTTAATGCTTTCCTAGAACTACATGAGTGGCAGTGCACAAGTCCACAATTATAACAGTTGTGCCTCTTTCTAGTGAACCCAAATGCCTGTCTACAAGCTGAGCACTGAGACTGCTCAGCACCAGATACCCACTTATGAAGGCAAATGGCCGCAGAGTAGTTTGAACCACACGCAATATATTTCACATGTCTATCTTTCAAGGCTTCAACCAAAGTTGGTGTTTTTCGATCTTCAACATCTCCATGACCCAATCTCCCATTTGCACCCTTCCCCCAAGTGTAAACCTCATTTTTGGATGTTAAAACAGTAACATGATAAGCCCCACATGCAATTTCATCAACAGATTCTCCTGCAAGCTTGTCTTCTACCAAACACGGAAGCTTTCCATCAGACTGGGGATTCCCAAGCTGACCATAAACAGTGCTTCCCATTGTAAAAACTTGTCCAGATGTTGTCAAGCCTACTGTCAAACTGTGCCCGCAAGCAATTCTATGAAAGTTGTAATCAATAAGTGAAGGTACACAAGTTGGTTCAAGACGGGCATCCTTGTCTCCATGTCCAAGGCGATTTTTATCTCCATCACCCCAAGTAAACAATTTACCTGATGATACACTAGCACTCGATTGTGTCACAATAACCTCTACAACAGCTGCAGTATGCCACACTCCACATGCAACAGCTATTGTCCTCAACCCAGATAATGATTCTACTTCTCTAGGATATGAAATATTTTCCCTATCTCCATGGCCGAGGACACCAAATGTTCCATCACCAAATGTGAAGAGCTGCCCTGTTGAAGTTATCAAGGCGGTGTGCCATGGACCACAAGTGACTAAAGCAACTTGAAGCCCCTCTAGTGGTCCAGCAATTCTCTTTGGTATCCAATGACTAACATCAGTGCCATGACCAAGAAGCCCAGCATTATGAGTACCATCACCCCATGTATATAGTTCCCCAGCCATTGTAACAGCACAGGTATGGAACTCCCCACAGGCAACAAAATCAACAGTTGTAGATGTCATTGCTTCAACCAAACGAGGTTGAATCACATTCTTGCCAACACCATGACCAAGGCGCCCTCCAGATTCTTCGCCCCATGTAAAAAGTTCACCTTGCCTAGTGACTAAAGCAGCATGTTTAACACCACATGCTATTTGAAGCACATCTAAAACCACATTTGACTCAAGTGGCCTAGGAAGGAGAATATCAGTCCTAGGGCTAAAATAACTAGCATTTTTCTCGGCACCAACTTTCACAATATTCTCACAGATAACCTCCCCCCAGATGTATACATCCCCGAGAGCATCATAATCATCCGGTGCAGACCCATGACTGGATGTGCTGGGGGCACTTGAAACACTAACACGAAAAACATCTGAACTAGACCCTTTCACTTGCATATTTGATGGGTTTGATGGTGCATGTGACCTTTCAAAATTTAAGGTATTCTCAGAGTAAATGGATTGTGGAGAAGTATTTGATAGACTAACAGAAACGTCAGGAGAACTGTTGTCTCGTGAAGCACTAACTGAACTTTCACTAGGACTATTTGATGTCAAGTCTCTACTGTCCTGAAAGTAATTGAGCCAGAAACAATTATATGCAACTGTCCATGTATTTTATCATTCAAGCTATTATCCATCATAATGGGAAAGCATGAGGAAAAGTTGATAAATTTAGGAAAATTTCTGATGTTTCAGTCCATAAATTCCAAATAAATGATATCACCATAGTAAAGTTAAAGTAATCAAATACCACAATCAACTAATCCTACATCTTAAATTGTGTCCAAAGAAGAGCAAGAGAGAGTTGCACTTTGTTTCAGAAAACTGCAAAATAAATTCTTCCAGGATAAGAGCAAATCCATAAAATAAAGATTAGCTTCCCTCAAGGAAATTATTACCCTTCTAATGAAGCAGATTTATTTTGATGAATATGATGAAACAAACCACTACTGGCTCTAGAGTATGATCTATCATCTTTCTCAGTTCATCATGGTAGAAGAAACATAACTGATAACACGAGTAAAATGATAATTGCAAAGACAACAAGCAAGTGTTTTTACATCAAGGTCTAGGCCTCCGTCACTCCATCCATCAATTTTGGAACGCCCACCTTTACCAGAAGATATCAGCACCTTAAGACCAGCAATCCACACTTCTGCCTCAACTTTATCCTTGCAAATCTGAAACACAACACAAAACATTATATAATAATGAAAAATGCAGAAATTAGAGACAAAATAATGGTGTAGTTATCCAGGGAATTTCAGAATTGATCACCAACCAAATCAAGGGATCGCTTTCCGTTGTTATAAATAAGTGAAAAAGACAGATAGTCCTTCTCAGGACGCAGATATCGTTGGAAGACAGCCTGATAGAAGACATGGCAAATTAATCATATAGAAGAGAAAAAACAGTTTATATATCACTTTTTCTTCCTTTAAATCACTTAGTTAATAACAAAGAATGCCAAGGCATTACTAGTATAAGATAAAACAGTAATGTAAAAATCTCACAGTTCTTTGTCCTGGAATAATTCTTGAGACAGAAGATAGCTTCAGATTTCTTTCACCACTACTTGATATCCAGATTAAAGACAGTTCATCCTGTGGTTTTCAGATATTCTAATGAGTATAATCAGAAATAACGCAATTGTGTGTCAAAATCCAAGCCTATTATATACATGACCATTAAGTTTATAGTCTACAACCAAGGAAGCAACAGAAAATAAACATTCATACTAGCAACCATGAACAAGAATGTATAAGCATTGAGCAACATTAAAGCTACGAAATCACTATTAGATAGCACCAAAGTGAGGAAATTATGCCACTTCAGTAACAGGTCAGTGAATCAGACCTGAATCAAACAAAAAGATCTGAAGTTTTATTCATGTCCAGTTAACTACTGATTGCCTCATCTGGTTATACTAAACCCAGAATGTGGCATCAAAAACCAATAAACTGCCCTGTATCCCTGTAAACTCTTGAATCCATTAACAAACTAAAAAGTCTGTGCTAAATTAGCAAATTTTGGATATAGTAATTGTAATATTAAATAATGACCCGCAGCCTTCCCCTGAGAAGCAAGGATGATTGCAGAACCAAAGTCCAAAGAAATCCACATGCTAACTCGGGAATCAGGATTCAGGAAAGTATTGATGTTATCCAAGAAGAGCTCCTTTTTAAATGCCATACTAGTAAAACTAAAATGCATCAAATTGAATACATCTAACTAAACAAGGCGAGTATCCGAAAAAAAGAAGAAAAGAAAATGGGCACAAAAAGATTAGAATCAGGCTGTAGAGGCAATACATTAAAGTTAGTCACAGATTAAAACTTAATAGTCACTCCCAGCTAACAAATTTTAGGACATGGAAACACAAAGCACCCCAGTATGACAAACTTTAATCTATAGAAGAATGCAATAGTGCCTTGTAAGGCCTTATTACAGAAATCTAGCTTCAATTACATCTGATATAATTAATACAACAATAACCTTATCATACTATGTGGGGACAGCCACATGTATCAATGGACATTATCATAAACAAAAATCTCAAATAAAACCATTTAAAGCAAGTTTTTTTTCTTTCTTGTTAATGGTTTCAAATAGTACATTTCTACTAATGCACATAAAAATAGTTTTACCATGTAATAAAAAAGCAGATAAAAGTACAAATTAACAGTCTTTCAATACCATACTTTTCAAACATCAGGTAACAAGTAAAAGCACCTATCTTTCATAGTGTAACTTTAACTGAGCATATAAACAGTTGAATACAGTCCAACCAGAAACTAATGAAGCAAGAAATATAGGGAATCCACTAAATTTTTTATGAAAAGGATTTCATTTAACTTACATTGGAAAGTCTAAAGGGACAAAACTTAGGCTTTCCTTTCCGACCATATTTAAGCAGTTGAGCACCCTTTTTCAAAGCAATCAATGCCTGCAAAATGAAAAGTAACATAGTAACCCATAAGAAAGATAAACTAATATATATATATATATATATATATAAGAAATACGGTAGGCACAGAAAAATGAGAAATAACAATGATCTAGGACATCTTATAGTACAAATGAGAAAGTTTCATACGAAATCCTTCCATGTTTTAAAACATTTAGTTTCTTTGAGTTGAGAAGCATCTCTCTCTTCCTTCTTAATATTTTGACCCAGATTGACGATTTGAAAAAATTGTACAGGCGACTGATAATTCTGGGAGCACAATCATCGTTGTCCAAGCAATCAACATTAATCACATGCTCAATTTCACTAGATGAACACTAATTTAGCCATCTTCCATCAACCAGTACAACAACATTAATGCAAGTTTCAATATCCCATAACAGACAATCCAACACATTTTCATAAGGTGCTGAATCAAAAGTTTAACAATAAAACATCTACCCTATAAGCAATAAGCTCCTAGTGCTAACAATTTAAACCAAGCCCCAACCACAATATCTCACGTTCAACCAAACCTTTCCATTCAAACACAGACAAGAATGCTATGACCTATCTTTCCTTTCTAATATATACCATATTCCACGGCAGTTGATAAAGCAAAACAACTCACTAATCAGCCAAACCCCATTTAACCTCTTCAAAAGGATCACAACCCGCAATTCACAACACCACCACCAACAAGATGAAATTCCAAATCAAAAACTCATCCTAATTTCGGCACCCCCATACCAATTAGCCCCCATACATAAATTCACTCACTATGCCTTCACTCCCACACCCTCACATCCCTCAAATTTCCCAATCACTTCCAACAGAGAAACGCACTACATAGACAGGCACCTGATCATAAACCAAGCATCAAAATTTAACTAAAAAATCAAAACTTTGAGATTAAACAATTAACTGACTTGGTCGATGTCACGGTCGGCATTCATGTAGCTAACAAGATCTGCCATTCGATGCCACCACCCTCTGCGATCGCTGCACAAAGTTCCGTACATCATAAACCTCAACCTCTCTCACTCTCTCTTCACTTTCTCTCTCTGCAAACCAAAACCCACTTCTTATTCCCACTTAAAATGCCAAAAGAAACAACGTCGCGGATCTGTTCCTCTTCAGACAACCCGAAACCCCATTCACAATTCCGAGTCAAAGACGCAGCCTTTTTAACTCATGCAGCGACTTGGACCAGTTCAGGAAAAAAAACGGTTCGAACGAGCCGGTTCGGTGAAAGGTTGAGAAGAGGATATTTCTGAGCGGCGGAAGAGAATTTCCGGCGAGGAATGCGGGTTCCGGCGGCGTCGCCGAAGCGGGAGGTGAAGGGAGAGAGGAGAGAGAAAGAGTTTAGAGAGAGAGTATCGGAGCCTGTAAAAGTACAACTAGTCAAAAGAAGAAGAGAGAATGAAGAAGCGAAATTCTTTTTTAAAAAAATGAAAATAAAAGTTTTATGATGTGGGAATATTAAATTAAATAAGGGAAAGCAGAAACTCTCCTGAAAAGAAATGAGAAGACATTTCCAAAGCGTGACTCCTATTTTTCAATTAATTAAGTAAATTAATTAATTGTTAATTAATTATAAAGGTTTAATTATTTATGTTATTCTTTGTTTTTATGTCTGGGAAAGAGGCACGTAGATGCGAAGGACGGTTTGGTAATTTGGTGGGGGACAACCCGGGTTATTAAACATTAATGCTTGGTTAAGGTTGTAATGAAGGAGAGAATGGCAAAAATGCCCTTCAGTTCTTTTTTGGTTTTTCTCTAAAAGAGGAAAAATAATTATTATCTGTACCAAAATCCACTGTATATAACTAGATAAAATTTATGAAAGTTTCACCAAATATATTGGCTCTCATCATTTTTATTTTTATTTATCTATTAAAATTATAATGAGAATATTAAAATTTAAATTTAAATTCATATATATTCAACATCCAACTCTACCCACTGCACCAATCCTAGAAGTATAATATTTTACAAGAATAAATCAAAAATAATGTTAATGGTCTCATTCTTTATTTGTAAAATAATAGGATTAATATGGATTAAATGTTTAAATATATTTTTAATTCTCATAAAATTTTTTAGTTTTGATCTTTATAAAAAATATGTTTTTCATTCTTTTAAAATTAAAATTATTATTTTTAATCCATATTTTTATGTGATTATTTTTAATTGTTTTTTTATTAAAATATTAAGATATTATTATCCATGATTATTAATCATATCATATTAATATTTGACACTTCTAAAAATTCATACAAAATTTTTAAAATAATAATTATTTATCTACATTAAAATAATCATCAAGAATTAAAAGTAATGGCTTTAAATTTTATAGGAATTAAAGTTAAAGAAAAATATTTTACAAAAATAAAATTAAAATTTATTCATTTTACAAGAATCAAAATAATATTTATAAAATTTAGAAAATGAAAAATGTAAAAAAAAATTTACAAAAATTAAAATCAATATACACTCATTTTATAAAAACTAAAAATATATTTCAGCCATTAATAAAATATTTACTATTTTTTTTTTACATATTCGTCTTGATTTATTTTTTTGGAAAATATTTTATTTGAATTAAAATTTTAGAAGATAGTGAAATTAATGTTTAACTATTTTTATATTAAGAAAAATATTTTGTATAGAGAAAACTAAATAGGTATTATTTAAATCAATCACATAATAAAATATATTACTATATTGTAAATTTAATTATTAGTTGTTATTAATATTTTAGATTTTTTTCCTAAAATATATTATAAAAAATTATGTTGAATAATTGTTATTTCACCTGTATGCTTCTCTAATTTTTAAAATTAGTTTTTTTTTTACCTCATCTCCTTAGATATATCCTTTTTAGACATACTTATAAGGAGAAAAATAAATGTATTGATTGGTTGGCAAAATTAGGAGTTAATTCTTTTGATAATTTTTTTGTTTTGTCTAAAATGTTCAAGACAATTAACTATTATAGGAATAGTTAGATTTTTCGTTCTCCTTCTTTTCTGTCATTTTCATTGATAAGAAAAATTTCATGTCAATATAGAATGTTTTTATTTTACACAGATAATATGATTATTAAAATACATGTATAGAGAGATAAAAGAGAGATTCATTTACTCAAGAATAAGTCTATTTAAATTTAGACTACTTTATAATTCATGTTTAACATCAAATTTCAATGATTCAATCGTTGAATTTAAAGTTCTTAATGCATAAATTAAGTTTACAATTTTTTTTTAAAAATTAAGTAATCATGTAAAAATAAACTTGGATTCTTAATTTATTACATAAGTTTTAATTGAATAATAACGTAAAAATAGACTTAGATTCTTTATTACGTAAGTTTTAATTGAAACTTACTCTAAAAAAATATTTTTTTTCTTATATATAAGTTCAGAAAGAATAAAAAAAATATCCAATAAATCTCTACAAGTACAAATTAACAATTACATCAATACATAATTAAAATAATGTGTGACTAAAATAATAATATTAATATTTAATTACGATAAATTTTTTTTACTTTTGTCAAATATCAAATTATTGCATAACAATTCATTAAGTTGTACAAAAATATTCCTATAAATTATTTTACATTTTGCTTATTGAAGAATAATAACTATTGAGTGTGTAAATTAATTGACATGATATTATTCTAACTTAGTTAATAGTATTACTTTTAAATCTTAAATATGTAATTATATTAAATACTCAAAAGATTGTGTACAACAATTATATATATCCAAACACAATTATATATGTTTGATCTCTACCAAAGGATAATCAAAGAGTAATAAAAATAAGAAGAAAAAAACTTGACAAAACTATTTATTTGTTGAGAAGTTTGGTAAGAAAAACATGATAAATAAACATTTTTCCTTCAACTATTTTTCAATATTTGGACATTTTATTTTTTGTCCCTTCTCATTAATTAAAACTCTCTCTCTCTTTGAGGTTTTATATGTGCCTCAAGGCAGTAAAGCAAGGATTTTTAGCTGCATGTAGGCCTATTATAGGTCTTGATTGTTGTTTCATAATGACACCCTTTGGTGACATATTACTAGTGACAATTGGTTTTGATCGTAATGACCAATACTATTCTCTTGCTATATAAGTTGTAACTGTTGTGGAGAGGGAGGATAAAGAATCATGGAAGTGGTTTATACAATGTTTATTGGATGATATTGGTCATGATCAAAAAAGAGTATTTATTTTTTATCAACAAAAGATATGCTTAATATTTTTTAACTTTAAGTTGATATTATATGATAATGATTAATGAGTTTAAATTTCTACATGGGATTTAGTCCCGACTTTACAGAAAATTGTGGAGGTTTTTGAATATAAAGTGTGTTTGACACATATGTGAAAATATGAAGAAGTATAATGGAGGTGATTTCGTTCTTAAGAGCAAGATGTTGGCAGCATGTAAAGTCACGTATGAGGGAGATTGCATCAAAAAGAGTGGTCATGTTAAAAAAGGTGGACTACTATTCTAGCAATGAGTTATTTTGCATAAGTTTTATACACTAATGTCATTATTTGAACTGATTTATTAATATAGGTATCTAAGGAAGCACATGATTGGCTGATGCAAATGGATAAAAAATTATGGTCTAAGGCCCATGTGTTAGAGTATGCTAGGTGTGATATGATTATGAACAACATGTTTGAAGCATTCAATGGAATAATTTTAGAAGTTAGAGAGCAACCTATAGTGTCTATGATGGAATAGATAATAATTTATTTAGTGAACAAGTTTGATAAGAATACAAAAATGGATAAGGAATAGAAGGCAAAGGGAGTCAAAGCTTGTCCAAGGCCAATGAAGAGATTAAAATAAGTTATTTAGTTGATAAAATGGATTTTTGTTTGGGATGAAAGTAATAAAGTTGAGGTGCAAAACTATCATTTTACATTAAAGGTTGATATAGATGAGAAGTTGCTCTTGCAGGTTTTGGAGTCCAACTAGTATATCTTGCATGTATAACTTTTGCGTTATATATATATATATATATATATATATATATATATATATATATATATGTTTGGTGTGTGTTTCTATTTTAGTCACCAATTTTTTTATAAAAGAAATTAAGGCCAACATTTTATTGTGATGACCAACAAAAGCTATTAATCAAATATTTTTATAATTGTAGTTGATTCTTTATTTTTAAGTTTTTTCAACTTTAGAACAATGACTAAGAAAAAATTTTACATAAGCAACGTCAAGTTATTTATTATGTATGTTGGACACACACTTGCACATATAAAACCCCAACTTAAACCAACACACATGCACACAACAACCTTGATTTATTGACTAAAGTTTTTGCAAATAAAACTCCAACTTAAACTAGCACACACATTCACACATTGACCTTGGTTTATTGATAAAAGTTTTACAAATAAAACTCCAACCTAAACCAATGCACGCATGCACACATTGACCTTGGTTTTCAAATAAAAGTTTTTGCTATTTTTTGCAAACATGCTACTTTTTTTTATTGCGGATTACAACTCTTGAATTTTATTCATCAATATTATCACTTGCGTATCTAACATGTAATGCACCTATTATGGAACCAATCAATGATGAAGACTTGTGGCAATAGACTGGACTTCCTACTATATTACTTCCACAAGTTAGAATTCTAGTTAGCAGACCAAAAATGGTTAGAAGAAGAGAGAAGGATGACAATGACTAAACTATACCCTACTCCAAAAATACCTAAGACACCATCAAAGAGTAAAAATGCAACAACTAAACCATCAAAGAATGAAAATGCAATCATCACATCCCCCACAATTGTTGTTGGTCAACCATCAACATTCACCATTGCATAGAGTAGCCAAGCATCTCAACCATCACAACTACCAAGTATTGCAAAAAACACTCAACCAACACAAATAAATATCACACAACAATCTCAAGCTCAAACCTTCA